ACACAACACAATCTCAAAAATTCAACATGTTTACTTGTAGTTCTTGAACTTGAACACTGTGACATTGACAGTATATACACACAGGCGACAAAAAACTACTACTAAAACACTGATTATGCATTGTCCGCCTCTTCTGCCTTGTGTCCAGGAGTTTCTTCTACATCACAGTCTGGTGCATCCTCATGAGTACTTTCACTGTTCTCCAGAAGGCTGAACTCGCAAGGAAAAACTTCTTCATCACTACTCTCATAGTAAGTGCGAACTTGTGGGGACTCCACGTAGTGTTTGGTGTCGTCACTCTTTGACGGATCACTCGCTTCCGGTGCTTTGGTATCAGGCATGTCTTTGGGTGTTGCTTGTGATCCAGCCTCCTGAGGTCGTTGGGCTGTGCAGCACATGCAGAAATGAGCCCATGATATTGAATTCTAAATTTAAATTACTAACCATATATACAGCATCTACAATGAAAGGCGTGAACCAGGCAATCAGCATTGTCAGGGTTGCACTCCCAACCAATGGGTTGTGGCGAGGTCAATGGACCAACTATTGAAGTTTGTTGTAGTCAGAGCAACAGCGATGCTACTAAGTCACAACTCACCTTGTCCGCTTTGCACAAGATAGATAGCCTGTAAAAACTGCTCAATTGTGAAGCATGGGTGTGGTAGCATTTGCACACAGTGCCCATGACATTCGCATTTAATGGAGCCATTGTCTTGGTTCATCTCTGTGAAAAAAGCTATAGTACTGGTGTTGGGAATCTAAGGGTGGTGAGAAACTGGGAAATTTATAACTCACCAGTTGACCAAAGGAGACAAACTCAAACATTGGTGTGTTATATTTATCATGACAGGGTGGGGCAGACTAACCAATATCCGTAGTAAATGGCACCCCAGAGGTGGACTATGTCAGAAGAGCTCGAGTGGCTTCAAAGTGAACTACCCGAGTTTCTGAAGATGCAAAAGAACAAAACTCACCCATTTCTACGAGCTGCTTTTCCCAAAATGGTTCAACCGTTTTCCAGAACACTTTAAGCATTGGGAACCAACTGGTAATCCTCCACATGGATGGAATGAAGTTGATCATCAGAACGACAACAGTGTCCCTGATAGTGACGAGAGCGTTCTACTGCCACTCACTGCCGAACAGGAAGCTGAGCTTGAAGGGGCAAGTGACATCCAGCGGAAAGTAAGTTCACTGGTGATCCTGAAAGAGTAGCGGCTAAAGATAATAGCAGAAATTAAAAGAATGGTTCTGGAACAATGCCAAGAGTAAAACTACACCTGGCAACACATCGATGAGTAAAGCTTTTGCTCAGCTACTGGGTCAGTGTGCTCGCGGTATTTGTGACCTGAAGGATATCGAGGTTTACTCAAGAACTTACTACAAAATGAAAGTACAGCCGCTGGTCGATGGCAACATTCAGGAAAACCAGCTCAATGCCAAGAACCAAATTGCTATCATGCAAAAACACGTCCACAATTGTTTTGAAGCTGAACCAGAAGAAGTGAAGGCAGAGATTCGTGAGGAGGCCGCAAAGATCAATGCTTCCAGAAGATTAGGAAGTATTATATCAGATACACGCACCAAAGAGGAAATTTACAGGATTTTTTTTTTCTTGGCAGCAAATGTTTTGTTTATTGATGTTAATTATCTGATGTACAGAGCTATTCAAGAGCTGCTGATGGTCCTGGGACAGATTTGCAATGACCTGGGGAAACTGATGGGAGGCTGGCATTTTTCCCTAGTTATGGGGGGTGCTGACCCCATGTGTCCAGGCGATATCATGACTCTAAGGTATGCACACAGACTTGTCAATATCGCAACTTGATCTCATCTTACTCTTACAGTTATCACCACAGCAAAAATCAAGATGGTCATAGTTTCAAGGCTGCCAACCTAGATTTCCACGAGCAGTATCTCGTGCCATTCAAAAAATATTTGCGACACGTTTTTCACTGCACCAACAGAGTTTCGGCCAAGTCACCTTCATCCTTGCCAATTCCCAGCCCATCTCCTCCTCAAGCAGACACCCATCACAACCCAGAAGAACCATCTATTCCCATCCCCATCGAATCTCCTATGGTGATTCCTGACCCTTCTCCCCCAGCACCTCCTGACTTCGCATCACTAAATACCCAGAACGACACACGTACTCCTGTCCCTGTCGAATCCTTGTTGGACCCCAATTTTCCTGTCTGCGACACCGATATTGATGCATTTGTTGCTACACTTCATCTGCTGGCAAGTGACGGTCCACATGGCGAGTGGTGGCAAATCCGGGACACGCAAATGCCTATGCCGCCAGTCATAAATCCTCCTCCGGCCATTATACCTACACCGCCGGTCATAAACACTCCTCCACCTATTGCTGGATCGCCTATCGAGTCACCCGTGCAGGGCCAGAACAGCTCGATGGTGAACGTTTCATCTACCCCGCCCTGCATTCGCAGACCACGCTTGAATGCTGTCCCATCATCTTTGTCCAAGTCTGTTGACACGGGTGACAGCCTTCCTGTCATGCGCATCTCTGCCACTCCCTTGCCTGGCTCGGTCACCACCAACTCACATTCAGTTCTGCCTGTTTCCAGTACTCCTGTAGAAAATGTCACTCCCTTGCCTGCCTTTGAATGTTCCACCTCGGTTGACACCAACTCTCATTCACTTCTGCCTGCTTCCAGTGCACCTGCACCTCTCACAGACACCTTGCTTCCTGCAGCAAGTGTTCCTCTAGTATCTACTGCTCCTGGGAGACGCTCAGTGCATGCAACACGACCATCAACAAGAGCTGAAGATGCCAATAAGATTGGTGATAACTGTTAAGACCGTACTCAAGTAGTATCGGATCCGAAGGGCTTCGGCCTCAGCTCGTGCGCTGTGCCCCTTTCCCGAGTCTTGCCCCTTATTTCAGAGAGCTAAAGTATCGTGTGTATAGAGTAACGGCCAATCCGGATCGGATCCGGACTAGAAACTAACGGGTGAGGACTGTCCGAAGACAGAGGCGGATATGTAGACTATAGGAATCTATCCTAAGTCTCGGAGTAGACAAGAGTAGCGTACTCAAGTCCGGATGGATAACGGAGGGACTCAGAGTCCAGACGGAATGAGTGCAATCTAAGATGATATTCGAACTGATCTACTACAGCGCATATACAAAGGTTTATATACTACGGATAGCTAACGGAATGATCCATAAGCAAAGGTGCGAGGCTATGTACGGAAGTATAAGCAAAGTCTAAGTGGAGCGTATTGGTAAGTTGGATGGATCACGAATCATGAACCGGGAATGAAGTACAAGTAAAAGCGGATTCGTAAGTGTAGCGGATCAGTAAGCATAGCGGATCAGTAAGCAAAGCGGAAGTAAAGGATAACCGGTATACCGGTGTACAGGAATACTGGAAGGAGATGAACGATAGTTAGAGTTATATGAACAGGAAATGAAATAAGAATCAAAGCGGATCTGTGGACCGGACGACGGATATGTTCATCGGATCTGGATCGGATCTGAGATCCAGATCATCGGATCTGTAACCGGATATATGGTATATGACAGTATCCCCCCCTTAGGGCCGATCCCTAGAGGCACAAGAATCAGCGATCCGGAACGGATGGTATGAGTGCGAGACAATGGAGAAGCTGATGGGAGAAGTTGCTGAGTTCGGATTCTGACAGATATACGGATGCCAAAGCGTCGCAGGGTGTTTCTTCCTTTCCCTACTTTTCCACTACCACTAGCTTATCTCAACCATGACTGATAACGGATCCGGCTCTAAGAAGACCGCTAAGCAGACTCTGGCGGACATCCAGGCCGCGCTGGCTGCTGCTGAGGCCGAGGTTCGGAAGGAGGAAGAGGCTGAAAAGCTGAAGCAACAAGCGGAAGAGGCGGAACGGAAGCGCTTGGCAGGGATTAAGAAGATTGAACGGGCTGAGGCCCGAAGGGAAGCGGAGGAGGCTAGGCGCAGGGCTATAGTGGCGGAAATGGTGAGTTATGACTTGTTCTATCGGATCCGTCCCTTATCGGATCTGTAGTCTCGCGCCATCTCAGCGGATAAGGATGGGGCTTGTACCCGCTGCGCTAAGAAGGGTCGGGCCTGTCTGTGGTCCGATGCGGATAGCAATAGGACCGGGTTTGTCTGGATATGCAGTGTGGAAATCCGAGACTAGATCGGACGCGTTTCCGAGTTCCGTGGCTAGTAGCCATGAAGTCTCTTCGTCTGTTCCTTCGTATCCGGACCATCGGACGAGGTATAAGAGTTGGCATTGTCTTCTACGACGGTCCAGCTTAGAGTCTAGGATTTCGGATATCTCATATTCTGGTTCTCCGTCGACTTCGACCGGAGGCGGAGGAGGCTGGATCCGATTGGGAATTGTGTTCGGAACGGATGGTTCTAGCTGTGAGACATGGAAGACGGGGTGGACGGATTTCATGGATTCGGGAAGTCGGATGGTAAAGGAATGGGTACCCGGACGGGATATGACTTCAAACGGACCTAGATTCTTTTCCGAGAGTTTCTTAGACGGACGAGTGGACCGGAAGTACTTAGCCTTGACAAAGACTTGGTCTCCGATATTGATATCCGGAGCAGGTTTCCGTTTAGCGTCCGCAGGTCCTTGATCTTTCTTGGGCGTGAGCCATTTCTTCTCTAAGGAATTGGTGAAGGTCGTCGAGGTCTATAGCATAGTCGCGAGCGCGGATGGAGGATAGATCGCGTTCCGGATTGACGGATATGTTCGGATGATAACCCTTATTAGCAAAGAAAGGCGATACTCCGGTAGTAGCACTTGGAGCGTTATTGTAGGCAAATTCTGCTAAGGGAAGTAGTTCCGACCAGTTGTCCTGTTGATAATTGCAATATATCCGAAGGTATTGTTCCAGGGTTTGGTTGGCACGCTCGGTTTGTCCATCCCCTTCCGGATGATATCCGGATGTGAAGTGGAGGACCATATCCAATGCTTTTCCTAAGGATCGGAAGAAGTGGGATACAAACTCTGTACCGCGATCCGAGGTGACATGGGACGGAACTCCGTGCTTGGAAAACACATGAAGTAGGAATAGACGAGCGAGATCCGGAGAGGTAATGGTATCGTGAGTCGGAACAAATATTGCTTGTTTGGATAAACGATCTATGATAACGAGGATGGCTGTAAAGCCTGATGAGTCCGGAAGTTGCTCTATGAAATCCATGGATATGGAATTCCAAGGCTTTTCCGGTATGGGTAGTTGCTTGAGCAATCCGTAGGGTTTATGTCTCGGAACCTTGGCTCGGGCGCAGGTAGTGCAGGACCGGACGTAGTCCTTAACATAGGTGCGTATACCCGGCCATGTATACTCGCGTCGGATGAGGTCTAGGGTTCGGTTTTTGACCAAAATGTCCGGATAAGGGGTGATCATGAGTATTATGGAGGACGCGAAGTCGAAGGTTATCGGATTCTGGGACATATATACGGTTGTCGCAACGGAGGAAACCCCTATCGTCCACTGTCCATCTCGGATCTGAAGGTAACGGAAGATGGTTGGTTGCAATAGGGTCATTAGGAAGTGCGGTCAGGATGTCTTTCTGAAGGTCATCAATATCCATTAGAACAGCTGCTCTAAGAACCGGAGTTGCTAAGGTTGAGGCTCGTAGGGACGAAGCTAACTGTTCGGACGTGAATACCGGACGGAAGTTATGAGGGTTAACTCGAGCGTAGTCCTTATCCCCCTCTTTGGGATAGACGTCCCAGCGTCTAGTAAGGGAATCCGGTTTAACTCCGAGTTTTCCGGGACGGAAGCGGATGACAAGATTGAACTGATGGAGGAATTCCGACCAGCGGGCCTGACGGCGAGAGAGGAGTTTGGTAGTGGCGAAGTACTCAAGGTTCTTGTGGTCCGTGACAACATCTACAGGCTCGGCCGAGCCTTCTAGATAATGTCGCCAGGTCCGGAAAGCTTCGTATATAGCTAGAAGTTCCTTATCGTGGGTGTCATAGTTAAGTTCCGGAGCGGTTAGCGTTCGAGAGTAGAACGCTACCGGACGAAGCTCTGAGTCCGGACATACTATGGATAGTATTCCAGCTATAGCGTAGTCAGAGGCATCGGTTTCCACAACTATAGGAACATCCGGCATCCAGTGCGTAAGCACCGGAGCCGTAGTGAAGGCTTTCTTGAGTTCTTCGAAGGATTTCCGACATTCATCGGAAAAGTTCCACGGAGCATCCTTGCGTGTAAGCCGTGTTAACGGAACCACGATATCCGAGTAGTTGAATATAAACCGTCTATAGAAATTTGCGAATCCGAGGAAGGATTGGATATCCTTGACTTTCCGAGGTTCCGGCCAGTCAGTAATAGCTTGGATCTTATCGGACGACATAGTTAAGCCATCCGGAGATAGGAGATATCCGAGATATTCAACGGAAGTGGAATGGAATTCGCATTTTTCGGGTTTGGCATAGAGACGATGTTTACGGAGTCGACGGAGTACTTCTCGGACGTGTTGCTTGTGGGACGCAAGGTCATGGGAATAGATGAGGATGTCGTCCAGATATACGATAACGCATACAATCCAGCATATCAGCAAACACGCTATTGACAAAGCGCTGGAATGCTGCTGGAGCGTTAGTGAGACCTTCCGGCATCACCAACCATTCATAGGAGCCATAGCGCGTTTCGGAAGGCAGTCTTCCATTCGTCCCCTTCCGCTATCCGGACGAGATGATAAGCGGATCGGAGGTCGATTTTGGTATAAACTTTAGCACGGCTCGGAGAGTCTAATAGGTCGGCAATGAGGGGGTAATGGATATCGGTCTTTCTTAGTGATCTGGTTGAGTCCACGGAAATCCACACAAAGGCGGAGGGATCCGTCCTTTTTCTTGACAAATAGGACCGGGGCTCCGTGAGGAGAGGATGAGGAGCGGAGGAGTCCAGAGGCAATATTTTCATCAAGAAACTTCCGGAGGGCTGCAAGCTCGACCGGGGATAGAGAATAGATAGTTCCGAGGGGAGGACTAGTTCCTTCTTCCAGATCTATGTTCAGATCATAAGGACGATGTGGAGGAAGCTGACCAGCCTTTCCCTTGTCGAAGACATCCGCAAACTCGTGATAGTCCGAAGGAATTTGGGATAGATCCGGAGGATCGGACGATAGAGAAGCGGATCGGAGATCGACACCGGATGGTCGAAGGTATATACTGAACTGGACCGATCCTTCTAACTTGCAGGCCCGGCAAAAGGCAACTGCATTGATTAGGGATATATTAGGAACAGTGTTATCAGCGGAGGGTACGGATGTAGTCGGAGGAGGTATGGTTTCCGTCGGAGGAGGGATATCCGAGGACGGAAGTGACGTCGGAGGGGTCGATGGCATTCCATGAGATGTCGTCCGGAATTCGATGCTGCCCAAAACCCAGTCAATCAACGGATTGTGTCGGGTGAGCCAGCTATATCCAAGAACGATAAAACAAGATGAATCCAAAGGGGTAACGTAGAACGTATCAGAGGTGACTACACCGGACTGGAAAGCGGACGGACAAATCTATAGCTTCGGAAATAGTATTATTACAAGTACCATCAAACAAGCGGAGCGGAATCGTAGGTATCGGATATGTAGGGATTTTGTGTTTTCGGATGAACGCAGTATCTATGAAACAATGAGAAGAACCACAATCTACAAGAGCTGGAAATTCGGATACGGATGGAAGTAACGGAAGTGAAACATATGGACAGAGGGAAGTCGGATCCGAGAGCGCGACAGCGTT